GCGTCAGCATTCTGGGGGTGCCGGTGGACCCCGACACGCTGCACGCCACGCTGCGCCTGTGCCTGCGCCTGACGCGGCAGCACAAGCACGCGCTGCTGTTCGCCGAGCTGCGCTCCACCCGCACCATCCTGGCGCTCACCCAGAGCTCTGGCTTCACCGGCTTCACCCCGCTCGTCACCCTCCTCTTCAGACACATCATCGAGGACCCCTGCACGCTGCGGCACACCATGGAGAAGGTGGGGGGGCTTGGGGGGGCCGGGGGTGTGAGGGAGAGGGGAGCTGGGGGTGCGAGGGTGTGGGGAGTTGGGGAATTGGGGGGCTGGGGGTGTGGGGATGGGGGCAGGGGGTGTGGGGAGAGGGGAATTGGGGGTGTGAGGGAGAGGGGAGTTGGGGTGAGGGGAGAGGGGGATTAAGGGGCTGGGGACACTGGGGACAAGGGGTCAGTGAATTTGGGCTGCAGGGGTCAAGGGGTTCAAGGGATTTAGGAACAAGGGGTTCAGGGGATTTGGGGTTATGGGGACAAGGGGCTCAGGGGATTTGGGATCAGGGAGATCAGGGATCTGGGATCGGGGGGATCAGGGATTTGGGATCGGGGGGATCAGGGATTTGGGATCGGGGGGATCAGGGATTTGGGATCGGGGGGATCAGGGATTTGGGATCGGGGGGATCAGGGATTTGGGATCGGGGGGATCAGGGATTTGGGATCGGGGGGATCAGGGATTTGGGATCGGGGGGATCAGGGATTTGGGATCGGGGGGATCAGGGATTTGGGATCGGGGGGATCAGGGATTTGGGATCGGGGGGATCAGGGATTTGGGATCGGGGGGATCAGGGATTTGGGGTTACGGGGAGAAGGGAATCAGGGATTTGGGATCGGGGCTCCGGGGAATGAGGGAGTTGCCGCTCTGGGTGGGACCAGCAGCTCTGGGGGCTCCAGGCTCCCCCCGGATGCTTTCCCAGGGGTTCCCATGGGCACGGCCAGCCCGGGGGTGCCATCCCCACGTTGTCCCCGTGGCATCCCCAGTGTCCCCACACTGTCCCCACGCTGTCCCCACGGCAGGTGGTGCGCTCGGCGGCCACGAGCGGGGCGGGCAGCACCACGTCCGGGGTGGTTTCGGGCAGCCTGGGGTCCCGCGAGGTGAATTACATCCTGCGCGTGCTGGGCCCCGCCGCCTGCCGCAGCCCCCACGTCTTCACCGAGGTGGCCACGGGCTGCATCCGCATCGCCCTCCCGGCCCCGCGCGGCTCCGGCACCGGTGAGCCACGGGGGGCTCGGTACCCGGAACCCACCCTGGGATCTGGGGGGTCCTGTGGGGAGGGGGTCTCGGTACCTGGAACCCACCCCTGGCATCTGGGGGGTCCTGGAGGGACATGGGGGGGATCCTGGGGGTCCCTGGCACCCGTAATGGGATCCTGGAAGGGATCCTGGAGTGTCTCTATCCCCAAACTGGGGTCCCAGGGGTGTCTCTGTCCCCAAATTGGGGTCCCAGGGCCCCCTTTACCCTCAGAACAGGGGTCCCGGGGGGTCTCTCAGGATGGGGTCCCCAGAGGTGCCTCCACCCCCCCCAAACCGCGGTCCCGTCTCATCCTCATCCCCTCCACGTGGCTCCCACCCCCCGGCAGCCCCCGAGGAGCCCCCCCAAACCCCTGACCCCCCATTTCCCGCCCCCCACACGTGCCAGCCTCCGATGACGAGTTCGAGAACCTGCGGATCAAGGGTCCCAACGCGGTGCAGCTGGTGAAGACCACCCCGGCCAAGGCGGCCGCGCTGCCGCCCATCCCCGAGCCCATCCGCGACGTCATCTACGACATGCTCAACGCCCTGGCCGCCTACCACGCCCCCGACGAGGGTACCCGCCCGGGGGGCTCACGGGACCCCCAGGGAGGGTTGGGGTGCAGGGGGAGCTGGGATTTGGGGTGTCCTGTGTGATGTCCTGGGGCTCTGACGTGGATTTCGGGGGCTCACGGGACCCCCCAGGGATGGTGCAGACACCCCCAGGGAGGTCTGGGGGGTTGTGGAGAGGAAGGGGGTGAGGATTGGGGTGCACAGGAGGAAATTTGGGGGTCCCCAGGGAGCGTGGTAGATGTGGAAAAGGATTTGGGGTGTCCACACAGGAGATTTGGGGTGTCCACACAGGAGATTTGGGGTGTCCATGCTGGGGGATTTGGGGTGTCCATCCAGGGGGTTTGGGATGTCCATCCAGGGGGGTCTGGGGTGTCCACGCTGGGGCCCTCAGGCTGCCCCAGGCCCCCCCAGCCCGTGTGGGGGTCCCGTGCCCCCCGTGACGGCGCTGTCCCCGCAGGTGACAAGGGGGAGCCGAAGGGGGCGGCGCCCAGCGAGGTGAGCCAGCTGCTGTCGGACATCGGTGACGACATGTACCAGCAGTACCGGAGCCTGACGCGCCCGCCCGCCGACTTCGACCCCCCCGCCGGCTTCGCCATCAACGTACGGGGCTGGGGGGGCCGGGGAGGGGCTGGGGAGGGGCTGGGGGGGCCGGGG